AAGAAAGTGTGTTAGTTTTCTTCAAAACTACCAAGAATCTTTGATGCAGTTTGATAGAAAATGTCTGTTCACTTTCAAATAGTCAAGAAAAACTGATGGACTATATATATATATATAAAAAATTCATTAAAAAGAAAAAGAGACGTTGATAACTTGGAGGAAGTGGTACAAGTTGTGTACCGGATATTAAATCTTAAAAGTTACACGCATGTTATCGCTTATGTTAGCGATGGAGTTTCGAACATTGGCAACTTGTGACGACGTCTTGCTTGAAAACGAAGATTAATCATTTGAAGAAACTTACTCGTCAAATAAAAACACTTGTAGTGGTTTAATCGAAAACAACATAGCTTGTTAAGTTATTCAGACTTTATACGTTTAGAAGAGCGTAACTGCAACTATTCAGATATGTTTTTTCTAAAGTATCACTTGCGAACCGCGTTGTTCACGGCCTTCTTTTTGCTCCTTCTCGTGGGAACACCAACGTTAGGTTACATGTTTCTAAAGCCGATACAGATTGGATCTAGTAAGTAGTTTGTATTTTGGTTTTAATCAGTTTCCAATAAGGCAGTGTTTTGTCTTGTACAACAGATATATATAGAATAAAACAACGACGAGTTATATGGAAATATCTAACCTAACATTTAGAACTCACTACGAAACAAAAGTGCATGTGGGAATGACAAAAACTTATCCAGAAAAATTAATTTGGGATAATTCAGTAAAAATAAATAAATAAATAGAAATCACGATCATAAACACAGTGTAGACTTAAGCCTGGCATGACTTTGCTAGAAACCGGGTTTCGATACCCGTGGTGGGCAGAGCACAGATAGCCCATTGTGTAGCTTTGTGATTAATTACAAACAAACAAAGCATGGCTTTGTGGTTAGGGGCACTCGACTCGTTCTCTGCAGGTCACGGGATCGAATCCCGTCATCGAACGTGCTCGCCTTTCCAGTCTTGGAAGCGTTATAATGTGATGGTCAATTCCACTATTCGTTGGCGGTGGGTGATTTTGACTAGCCGCTTTCCATCTAGTATATCACTTCTGAATTAAAGACGACTAATGTAGATAGCCGTTGAGTAGCTTTGCGCGAAATTGAACAACCAATAGAGGTTTATATATAACTTTAATGTACTCAGCCTGAGAGTGTGTAACAATACTTGTTAAATTTGATTAAAAGTAATATTAAATCTATGATTGGATCCCGGTTCTCATAAAGAAAAAGACTGATGGCCAAAGATATAATCATGCAGACGTTTGGTTCTGTCCGTAGTGTGCGTGGAACCATGTGCTTAGGCTTAGAAATACATAAACTTTCATTTTTTATAGATAAGTGTTTCAAATCGTTTAAAAAACTTCTTGTAATCGTAAGTAAAGATAAAAACACTTCCCATCTCTACAGTAGCTCAGCGGAAAGTTCGCAGGCTTACGACGTTAAAAATCGGGATTCGGTATCGTGGTGGGCAGATCACAGACAGTCCATTTTGTAGTTTTGCACTTAATTAGAACCAACCAACTTTTTCAAACATTACTTCAAAAAGAGATCGGTTCGTTGAATAAGTTTCAACAGAAAAGCATGAAAGATGTGAAAAGCACCGATAGAGGGGGAACGGTTAAAAAACACCTTTACGGTTCTTTTTGACAGTTTTTGAGTTTGATTATATTTTCACACACAAGACGTACGTTATTGAAACAACTTTTACTTTCAGAATGTAGAAATTAATCTAAAATCACGTTAGTGGTACTGATAGCCGATTTTAGTATATAAGACAATATATTAATTTTATCTTGCTCTTTGTGTAAATTGATTATATTTGTCATAAGATGTTAATATTAGGCCTATTATATTTTTCAACAATAAGATAATGTGGCCGGTAGGGACACAACAAACTAAGTAGTGATTTGCTTGGTTTTGTTGTGTGATTCGTTACTCATTAAAAAAGCCTTGGAATAACGTTACATGTTGTCACAATCAATTATCTGTGATTATTCAGTGGCCTGGCTGATTATTAATATATTTGTGAATTTCATTCGAGAAAAGGTGACGTAATCTAGTCTTTGATTCACTATTTCCACTCGAGCAGACTAATTTTGCTGAATATGCAGCTTGCGAGAGCGAAGCAAGTGGGTAAGTTAGGTTTCATATAGTGGTAATAGTGTAAGCAGTTTGTTTGGTTCTGGTTTATTAGTAGTGAGTAAAAGACAATTAAATAAACAAAGTAGTGGTCGAAACGTGATTATGTAAGCATTTGTTAGAATAACATTTGATTAGCCTGTTAATTTCCCTTTGCTGGCAAAGCGTAACTATACTTTTATAAAACAATAGTACTAGTAGAAGGCTTAGCAATTGTTATTCTAACAAACAGCATCTCAGCCAGCCGGACAGTATTGAACGAAACGGGTAGTTAGCAATAAATATGACAGAAATAGTGTGGTTGAAATACAATTATACACTCTTATTCTGGGGGAAACCCTAAGGGACCGAATAAAGAATGTAATTTTTTTTTTAAATGCAATAATCCTAATAGTGTTGTTTTGTGACAAAAGGCATTCACACAATAACAGTTGGTATCCCGTTATCTTGCTTCAGGTCGCTGTATCGACGACAGTCTCATCCCTCACCTGGTTGGTGACAGTTGGTACGACGATAAAAACTGTGAAAGGCTTACTTGTGTTTATCTGGAAGAAATTTTGTACATTTCTGGTTATGGGTGAGTTACAAGAGAACAATATATTATTTCCTTATAGTTTCAACTTTCAGACTCAAGTATTTACGATGGCTTACTTTCAGCAAAGGAATATCATATTCTATGCTTTCAAGAGATGACGCAGCAGTCTACCCTACTTCGCATGAGAGTCTGGTTCAAAAAATGAATGATATTACAGCACCATCTCTAGAGCGTATGAAACAAAACGTATTTTTGATTTAGTTTCGCTTTTAAAGTTTTACGGTTATTTTTGTACTTTGAATTCCCAAATATTGTGACTGGTAAAGCTATACTTATAGAATAAATAACCGATCAACACATTTAAAAAAGCTCTTAGTACGTTTTACAAATATAAAACTGATTTTGAGCATTATATTTTTCTATAAATTTGCTGATTATTACATCATTTTGAGTGATATTTTAAAATTATTCTAGAAAGCAGTTTTGTTTCGAAGTTAGGCTGTTTCAGTGATATTCATAAAAATGTTTTACACAACTATTTATTAAGATGTATTAAATAATCAGTGAACAGTATGTAAGTTCCATGACTATGAATCTTGTATGCTTAGAAATATAATATATTGTTATTACAAATTTTGTAACCAATAATTTTAGTCCTGCTTCTTTCTTTCATGCACTTTATTTTACTTCCGTTTTAGGTGTGGAAAACTTGGATATTCTCCTGAATGTCATGTAATCAAAGGAAAAGGTCATTACCCCAAGTGTTGTTCACATGTGGAGTGCTGACTATCAAGCTACTGCCACCTGGTGACTAAAATTCAAAACAGAATTTAGCAGTTATTTCTGAAAATAAAGATACGAAAGTTCGATGTAAAGAATGATTACGTCACCTATATAATTTATCCGAATAACAACTAATTGAGAAGTAGCGTAAATAGTCCAGTGGTCATATGAAAATATCACTAATAAAATATAACGGATCAGTTGATGAACTTCCTTCATAATAATTTTTAGAATGTTGTCGAAATAAAAATTTAATCATCCCCAAGTGAATTTTAACCACCTCCAGTTAGTTTTGACTATATTAATATTTTTTTTAGCAACTATAGAATAACAACTATTACCTTGACTAAAACTTATAGCGGATATTCCTGATGACTACTGGACTGAAAATAATTACAGGTTTGTTTCTCTTTATTTTTTGGTACAATGCTGTGTTTTCCGCAGGGATCAAACCCCGAATATTTATCCAGTGCAAAAACTTGACAGTTACTTTAGTTGCTTGTCTGTTCTTTTTTGCTTGTCATAATACATTATTTATCTTATGGGCTTCATTTGTGTGTTAATGTTTCGTCGACTTTTCAGGGTAATTATTTACCAATCAAGGTAGAAAGAAAGACAAAATACAAAATGAAATCCCCTTTTATTTTAACCACGAAACAAAATACACAGATTTGCAAACTAAAAACAGAAATTTAACGGCATGTATTTTTTTCTTTTATCGATTTCCATACCGAATGACATTAAGTAATGTAGACTTGACTAGAAGAATTATACGCTATCACTAACTACCAAGGCTTGTTTCCTTTGTCACTCTATCGAGAATGCTTTCACGCTCTTTTTTTTTTTAATACCCAACAACATACATCGTCGCTTAGAAACAAAACTATCATCTGATTGTTCTTAGGCCAACTATGGTGTATATGTTGAATGCTCAATATTTATGTTGATTTGTTAGAAACGTTTGTTTTTTATTCTTTATTTTTTGATAACTTCGCTGATACAACAGCAAAATAGTTTAATTAAGAATTTTTATAACACTGAGTTGTAGCCAAAAGCAAAATAAAATTTACCAAGTAGTATTTACGTTAACGTGTATGTATTAGGCCTAATGCTTAAATTGGACTACAAATAAGCCTACTATTGCTAACGTCATAGAGTCAGTGTTTCAAAAGTTTTAAGTGGTGAATAACACATATATTTATCTACTTGGCCTTAAAACATAAAGAAATATAAACTATTACTACTAAATGTATTTTATCCTTTTACAGTTTACAGTCGAAAGAGTTGAAAATTTGTATTGGTGTTTCAAAAGTGGTGAATAAATGATAATCAATAAATATTCTTTTGGTAATTTAACACATATATTATCTGCTTGGCCTTAAAACATAAAGAAAAACAAACGTTTATTGCTAACAAATATATTTTATCCTTTGTACCATCTAAAGAGTTGAAAATTTGTATCAGAAAACATTCGATAACATTTCATTTTTAAGCGTAGTTTTTACTAAAAATATGGTGATTAAAAATTACTTTGAGACTGCTGAAATAATTGAAGAATAGGTACATTTTGGAGGTACATAATTCTACATTAGTTTTAGTTAAATTCTATAATTTTCATTGACCATTCAACAAAGGTTTTCCGTCATTTTTATACTAGTATATACATATATTTGACTATTTATCCTAAGCCTTGATATTAGATTTCTTACGAAGCTCTCACTCATGCTGGCTGAGTTTTATATAAGTATGTATAATATTTTAAACAAGTTATCAACAAAAGTTGCCCAGTGTTGCCTGGGGAATATGTAAACAAAATGATAATAAAAAATCAAACTACTCTAGATATGTTAATTGCCTAACGTTTTTGCTGTTAAAGCGAACTGTTGGCCTATTACAGATAAAGGCAAAAAAAGTATTTTACATAAAATTTTTATTCCCGACGTTTCGTTTTTTACCGCCTTTTCAAAATAACAGTTCTATACGAAATGAAACAAAAGAGCTTATATGAGTTGTTTACTTGAAGAAGCTTTAAAAGCGAAACGTTAGGCACCTAATACTGTGAAGCTATTAACGTTTTACTTACACACACTTATATATACTAAATAAACCGTATCTTAAAATATATAATGATTCCAAGTAGGAAGGGTTGTAGGATTATTAAGACAAAACATGGACCTGGTTGAGAAAATTTCTAAAATATTTGGCACCAGTTTTTAATCTTTGGTATAGTTTATAAGCAAACTTTTTTTAACAAATAAATTTAAATTGTAAGTTTTACTACGGTTTTTCTAATACATATAAACTTTTAAAAATGTATATCCTGAAATATAAATTTGTTTCAGTCTTATATCTTCATTTTCTCTGCGAGAAATACAGCATAACCGTTCGTCGCTACTTATAAAATTTTAAAACTTGGTACTATTTTTGTAGTTACATCTATTACATGACGTAACAGTGTGATTTTACGTTGTATATGTGTGATTAAGCGAAAGCCATGAACTAGGCCTACATTTGAACAAGAATGTTGGAATTTTCTTTTATTTCCAAATTTGAAGAATTGTAATATTACAAAAGCGTTGCAAGAGCAAAAATATCCAAATATTGATGAACTTATCTATTTTTGTGGGAAAATATATCTAACTGTTTAAAGATATTGTTTTACGAATACTTTTTTGCAATTATTTGACTTACACGTATTAATGTTGTTCCTGCATCGTCTATGAAGCCTATATGTGTGCAGGTTTTCTAAATTTGGACTTTATATCAGGGTTGCCAGGTTGGCCTTTTTCTACCTTGTTTGGCCATGAAAATTTAGGTTTGGCTTTTTCTTCATATTTTGGCCAAACCTTTTTGATTTGGGTTAATTTTCCGTACAATTTTATTTTGTTTCCGTTTATATATATTTGTACACGTACAACGTCGTACAAGACTTGAAGCGTTGCATCATTAAGCAATAATAGAACTTTTACATGTTGTGTCGTGTGTTCCAGTGCGGATATTAAAGAAATTTATACGCGTTTTATGTCTTAAATCTGATAACCCTTTATTTAATATGTCTCCTAAGTGGAAATCGTATTATGACAGTGTATTTTAATTTTTTTATTATATATATATTATAATAAATTTAATAAAATATGATATTTTAAGTAATAGTTTTTTGTATGGAGTTTAGGAGTTGGCCTTTTTAAACCATTAATTTGGCCAAAAATCTCCCCAATCATCTGGCAACCCTGCTTTATATCCTTTGGCCTCAAACGAAAAGCGTCACAGCCGAAATACCACGATTAACCAGAATTAAGTTTGTTAAGCTCAGGTTAGTCTTAAAACGCCACGGTTAAGCCTAAGTTGGGCTAACTCAAATAGTACGTGTATTCCGCCTTTTTCCGATTGCAAATCGATCGTAGTGAGATATAGCGTGCCGAATTATTCGAATTAAAATTGGGCCGAAAACACTACGACCATGCTTTGATTAAGCATAAAATACAACAATTAAGCTTAGATTGGGCTGAAACGTCTGAAATAAGCTTAGTTTAAGCTTAAAACAATAAGGTTAAGCTTAGTTTAGGCTTACAACAACATGGTTAAGCTTGGTTTATGCTGAAAACACAATTAAGTTTAGTTTGGGATGAAAACATCACGATTAAGCTTGGGTTAGGCTAAAACACTAGCTTAGCTAGTTGGAATTAAAACATCTGTGATAGCTTAGGTTGGGCTGAAAATACTATGGTTAAGTTTAAAAGACTTAGAAGTATGACAATTACTTCTCAAGAATAGTTATTATATCTTAAATAACATGTATCTAAACACATAGTCATACACTTACTGATGTGTATCTATTTATAACTGTCAAATTACATGAAGCTATGAATTTAGTTTTTTAATTTAATTAAAATACTATTTTGTTTCAACAGTAGTATTCATCTTAAGTACAGAAAGATGTAAAACCTCAAAGTTCTTTTTTGAAAAGGTGGTTTTGAACAATCCATTTTGTTTTGTTTATTCATATAAAGTTCTCATAAAAATATCGACGTCAGAGCCTGAGTTTGAGTCAGAACCTCCAAACATGACTTTTTGAGGTACGAAAAATGAAAAACAACAGCACTATAAGAAGTGTGTGGTTTTTTGGAAACACAATAAACGTGATAAAAACTGATGTTTATAAGTTCTAAAACAAAACGTGAAGTCGGGTTAGATATATGTTACTTAGCATATATTAAGTTATATTATTTTAAATAATCACTAGTATAATCTGACTTAGTGTTACACATATGATGATTTACAGGATATTCGTAAATAGCTAAAAGGAACTCGTTTTCTTCATTCTACTGAAACAGTCTAGTTTATATCAGGGACTACTTTAAGGAACTTTCAGGGCTACACAAACCATAGTTAAAACGTGTAACACATTACAACGTTCCCCAGAGAGCGCTGAGCATTATTTCATGTTTTTTTTTTATTTTTTAGAGATGCAAGTTCTATTTTTGCTCATAACGAAACTGTCAGTAACATCACACACACTCTGTTACTTACGGAGTGTGTGTGATGTTACTGACAGTTTCGTTATGAGCAAAAATCGAACTTGCATCTCCAAATGAGATGCCCCTGGTGTTTGTTCTCCAACACCGTCACCAATTTTTGGTTTAAAAGTTGACTAGCTGACAGACCACAAGGTCCTTCAAAACTTGATAAAAATAAATAAATGTGTTGTTTCGGGTTCTTTTCAATACAAATTACTTATGTACCCTAGCTTTTAAATTATTCCGTTCTATTCAGAAGTATTTGAATATAATGTTTTAGTTACGAAACTTAATTGTTTAAATATAAAGACGGTCTTTCAACTAAAGTTTTTCATTTCAAATTATCATTTGATATCTGTGAGTGATTTTCAACTCGACGTATTAAGAAACCATGACAGCTAAGCCTAACTGGCATGAAAAGTAAGTAAGGTTATTGATACTTTACTGTTCAACATGAAAATTTTACTTCTAAACTTAATAAGATAACATACCAGAAGAAATTACGTTCCTCACTTAGTAAAAAAAAAGACAAACAACAATTCAAAATACCATGACCCTGAGGTATCTATCGTCTGCAAAAACAGAACTTTCGTAAACGCGCATTCTTTATACACGCTGATTGGTTCCCATACCTGTTAAGGCGGCTAACGTCATCTAGAACACTGAAGACTTCATTCTTTCTGTCGTATCGTACAGTACTCTCGAAGACAGCTTTACTGGGAGACACTACTACTGTGAGGAGGTAGTCTTCGGGTGCTTCTATTTTATCACCATATTTCACGTGCCGGTTGACCACATCGTTCACGTTCTTTTGAAACTTAAGCAATTTTTCATTAGCTACGAATAACCTAGCGTCTAGCACGTGGTCAAGGATCAGAGGTACACAGACGTTCACATAACTACTCAGCCTGTGGTTAACTGTTGTAACCAAGACTTTGGCCGCTGAATGTACAGTGGAATCGGTCACTTCCACCTTCTGGTGTTTATTGCACGTGCACCAGTGCGGAAGAATTGATGCGTCCTCACAAGTCCTGTTTGCTGATATTTCAGTGAACAAGCTAGTCCCCCGGCTTGTTGAGAACGGTTCTTCTTTCTTTTCGTTTAGGTTCAACAGGTGCACTAAAGTGGCATGAACATCAAAGGGTGTCGTTAATCGCCTCTGGTTAGTGTGTAGGTTTCTCGATATATCCGGGTATTTTGTGTGAAACCATGTAGGTAACACGATAAAAAGAAACGGCATTCTTTCTTCGAATTTGCCGATATAGGTTTTGCGAATATTTCCGAAGCGGATACCGTGGTCGCTAAAGAAGATTAGCATCGTGTTATTGAGAGCTCCCGTTTCATGGAGATGTTTCAAGAGTTGAAAGGACGGCTCATCGGCATAACCAGCGTAATTTAAGTTATCGTGTGTCAGACGAGCCACAAACGCGAACAGAAGAAACATTTTATCTTTCATAGTAGCGGTAAATTGTTTAACATAATCGAATACCATCTGCATTTCCATCTTCTCTTGGATACAGTGGGTTCTGCTTTTCTTCATGATGTCTGATTTTTCGAGTGCAAGAGCAAAAGGCCGGTAGTAATAATCAGTGGGGGGTTCCAGAAAACCTTTTTTTAGATAGTTGAATGTTGCGATGTTGGGGGCGTCTTCGGCAAACATGGTTCGAAAGCCACTTTTCGCGTAATCTTTCCATACGAAATCAAGATGGTCAAAAAACATTTTTTTCCTCGTTTCGTTCCAGTAATAATCAATGAAATGACCCGTAAGGAAAGGGGTTACATTGGGAAAGGTATTATCCCCCACTTTATTATAGCCCATCAGTTGAATGGCTTTCAAAACTTTGTGGAGGTAATTATTTGTTTTCTCAAAATGTCGGAAAAAGTTAAGCGTGGAAATGGAGTCAATACCAATGAGCATCACATTTAAGTTTTCTGATTTGGGAAACATTTTGGCTTGTTCTGCGCATCTTTCCTCAACACGCCTTTTTAGAGGTGTCATTGAGATGTATTCTTCGTGCAACATTTCGCCATCATGGCTGCACTGTACAATAATAAATTCTTCTTGCAATGGTACCCCGAAAACAAGGTTTTTGGGTTTCCCCAACTTAAATTTTTTATCTGTTCTTTTATTTAATCCTCCTGGATCACGGAAGATTGGAAGATAAGAACATGAAATATTCACGGAAGACGAAACATAATACGTTGCTAGTATAGTATCGTTTATTTCAAGCTGAGCATTAGGCTTAACTTCGATAAAAGATGGTATCCCGTCGCAAAGCGATTTGCTCGAAACGTTTTGGTAAAACACTTTCACAGTCGGATCAAAAATGTTCCACTTGGGTATCTGACATCCTGGAGTATCCACCATATACAGCACTCTGTCGTACAGCTTCCAGTGGAACGATGTTTGGCTCAGGGTGAGCTTCTGGAAACTGTCGCTAGCATACGTCACAAGGAACACCACAACACACGAAGCAAACACCAGACATAGGAGGACTCGTCGCTGAATCATAGTATCCAAGACGACCTACAAATAGAAAAGTTTGAGACACAAGTACAATGTACATCACACTCTACTAAACTTAAGAAAAAAAAGATACGTCATCGAAATGTTGCGCTAATGCAGAATTTGAAATTATATTAGTGTAATTTACCATGAGTACGAGCAGAAGGAAAAAAAAGGAGAACTAATTAATAATTATTTCAAGGAATGGGTAATATTTGAAATAACAATCGGAAGTAGTTAACAGACTTTTCAATAAACTAGCTAAAATATACTGTTGTGATCTGTATTTTCAATGTTTTAATTTAGATGTTTACTAGAGGGTGCATGATGTTAAATCGAAAAGGTTTGTGGTGTATGTAGAAACAATGGTGTGATATAAAGATGGCGAATTAGAATTCAATGAAGTATTCAGAGAGAGTGATTCAGTTCAATGTTATCAGTAAGAGTTATCACGTTACTCGATCGATTAGCGAAAACATTATGTCAGTAAATATATTTCTGAGTTAGACGTACCATTAGGTTAGTAGTTTCTGTTCAAACGTTGTTTATGAACTTAGGCCTACAACTTTTGTCAAAGTGAAAGTAGACTTAGAAAACGTTATTGAAGAAATAAATTATTTCGTTATCGTCACGTGGACTAGACTTAGCATTATTTTTACCAAATAATTCAAAATAACCCTCCCAACGACAGAACACGTTACAACAGTATATTTTAAGAAACTATTAACACTTCTGTTATAAATTTACCATTAGGGAATCTAGAAATAATACAAATTTCATTACTAAGGTGATAGTCCACCAAAAAATATTTTCCAACATTATTTAAAAACTTAACTCTTTTTAAAGTTACATGTTAATAATTTACAATTAGTGTAGAGGGCCACATGATACAACTCGGTTTAACCATCAACTAGAACAACCATCTGGAATGAAGTTTATGAACCAAGCTAAAGGTACAATCATTTTAAATTCAGTTTAATTACACAGGTGTCAAAATAAGTTAGTGTTGCAACTATCATAACAGTGACCAATGTTACATATAAATGTGTGAAATCTCATCCACAACTCTACAAAGTGTATCACAACTTTTTGATATCAACTGCTTAGTTGTGAAGAGTGAGATATTAATATTCAGCCGGCTGGGTCCCCTGGTGGGAGAGCGGCAAGTCTATGGACTTGCAACGCTAAAATCCGGGATTCGACATACCAGATAGCCCGAAGTGGCTTTGTTATAATACACACAGCCACATGGAGTTAGTCTTAGCCCCTACATTAAGTTTTATTCACAAACTTTGTTACAACAAATTAACGCCCTCTATATTTAACCTCTTATGTTATACACAAAATAAATCAATTAACACCTATGAACACGTGAATACAGTAAAAAAACACACATCTACAATTTCATCCTCAACCAGCGCACACACTCGCACCGAGTTCACCACCAGGTGATACACTATGATTAGTAAGTTACAACCATATATCTCCAAACGGAAGTGAGAAGTAGAGACATCTGTAGTCGATTTAATTCTCTTAACTAAAATACTCTTTTAATCATTAATAACAATTCATCAGTAGCCTTAGCAATAATTTCAGAATCATTTTGACTTGGTGGTTCTTCACATTCATTTAATACATGTTGCTTAATAGCTGACTGCTTTGACAATCTGAAATCAACGTGTTCTGGATTCTAAGGTACTCTTTGTAGAACGTATATATATCAATAATTAATAAACAATATTACAATTCTGTTATTTTATCTTTCGAATTAAAGAAATGTTTAATTCTACGTCCTGGTTTTAATATAAACATTAACTAAACGTGTAGGCAAGTATGAGATTAAGTTGTTTTTCAATTTTAAAAGATTCTGTTCCTATAAACAGATTCTGTTCCTATTCTGTTTCTCGAGTAACGAGAAACTAGTTAACAGAAGTATTTCGAGTAACGAGAAACTAGTTAACAGAAGTATTTCGAGTAACGAGAAACTAATTAACAGAAGTATTTCGAGTAACGAGAAACTAGTTAACAGAAGTATTTCGAGTAACGAGTATCTAGTTAACAGAAGTATTTCGAGAAACGAGAAACTAGTTAACAGAAGTATTTCGAGAAACGAGAAACTAGTTAACAGAGATATTTCGAGTAACGAGTATCTAGTTAACAGTTATTCTATGACCTAAGTTTGTAAATTTTGAGTATATATATATTTTCTTAACAAACTTTGGATGGCACAAGTTAATTTAAAGATATAAATTTTTTATTATTATTACTATGAGAAATTAAAGGAATATTTCAGTGGAACTAAAAAAAAACAACAACTTCTACGAACACACGGAGACCTTGAAAACCAAGACAAGCTGAGCTGATGATTATGACAGATTTTAACACATTGATTTATGAGCTATTAAGAAGGAAGAGTTTTTAGTTAGTTTAACTATAGGTGTTTAGAGAGATTCATTGGGTAATATTCGTCATCCTACACTGTAACGAACGAACATACAATACTGGTTACGTGGTAGTCATGGAGACGACGTTCCATCTCGTTACGACGGTCGTTGAAACATCGCAACTGAATCCGACAAAGCACTCCTGTGAAACTATTGGCGGTGAGAAAGACATAGATTGACATTTAGATATTACCGAAATGAAATACTTAAAGACGAATAAGTCTGATCAAATAGGATACTTTGTGCCACTGACGGAAAAAGAACCTAACATAAATATGATGATTACTGTTTTGTGTTATGTGAAGGGTTCCACTAATACGATATTACTATTCCTCAATACGTTATTTTGAAGTATCGCACCAATCCCTCACCATTAGGGAATGTCACAAAGTTTGATGGATTAAGGAATGTTCCCTACGTTCTTTCAAAAAGTTTTATCATTCACTTTCATTACTCCCAAGAAGTTTCCATTTCAAATCCTGTAAACCCACAAAAAGTCACATTCCTAGACAAACTGATCACTTCATAATCGTATTGGAGTCACATTCCTAGTCACACTGATCACTTTCATGACCGTATAGGAGTCACATTCCTAGTCACACTGATCACTTCCCTGACCGTACAGGAGTCACATTCCTAGACAAACTGATCACTTC